GTTCCTAAGATAAAGGCTGACTGAAGAGCTGAAAAAAAAATTGTAGTCAGTTGATAATAAAACAGAAAATGAAATTTAAATGCATTAATTTATACATTAAAGGATCTATGGAAAAGAACAAAGTAATCATATCTTCGTGTATAAAATTACAGCCTTTAAACCAACCATATCCACCTATAGAGCAATCCTGGAGTTAATGACAGAGTTTAATGACCACAGATCATAAAAGCAAATAAATTATTTGGAATTAATGGGAAATAAATTTATGCAGGCATATATATCTATGACATGGGCACATCTTAAGTGCTGTGTTCTGGTTTCCTCCTATCAAAAAAAAAAGACAGGAATCAGGATTGGAAAATGTTATGAGAAAAGCAACATGGATACACCACAGCATGGAACAGTCTCTTTATCAGAAAGGGCTATGTAAGCAAGGACTCCTCAGCATGGAAAGAAAAGAGGTAACCTGAAGACAGTAGGATAAACACCTAGAAAATCGAGGGAAGTGTGAAATGATCAATGGGCTTCACCACATTTGCAATACAAGAACCAGAAGGCATCAAATAAAGACAGTTAAGGGAAAATTCAAAATAGGCAAAAGGAATTGTTTGCTATGCAACTCCTTGTCAGTGGATCTTTAACATGTTAAAACTTTATATGTGGTAGAAGACAGACTGTAGAATTTCATGGAAAAGAAGTCAGCTGAGGTTTATTTCACACACAACTGGCTGAGGGTGTTTCCAAACTGGAAAGAGTTGGAGGTTTGGTAAGTACACACAGGAAGTATCACACAAGCCTGCTCCATTTTTACTGTTCTCTAGACATCTGAATCTCACCATTGCTGAGTATCAAGAGCAGACTGGATGAACTGCTCATGTGATCCAATGTAATTATCATTTTGCTGAATAGGCAGTTACTGCATCCAGTGATGTCAGATTTTTAAACAAATGCTTCTCAATTTCAAAATTAGGATACACTGAAGTGTAAGGGGACCTTTCTATACAGCAGGCTTCTATATAAATTTTAGTATCACACCCTGTGTTTTTGCTCTTAGATTGAAAACAGACTCCTAACTGATAAAACATTACATGGAAGCTGGCAGGACCCCAAAATGCCACCTAAGCTCAGGTAGTGACTGACTTATTGACAGAAGCTACTGTCCTGTTTAGGCAATGTCTCTGTTCCAAAAGCATGGCCTGCCTGTGACTTGTGACATTAACCACAGCCTGAGAAAGTCACTCTTTATGCAGTCTATCTGGAAAGCTTAGAGATGATAATGATGTGGGAAAGTGGAACAGAGCCCTGCTAGAAGATTTCTTGAGATGGGCAAAAGTCTACAATGCTGACTGGAAACAGAATCATGCAAAGCTTATCTGGTAAGACAGAGGAATTACACAAACACTTCTGACAGTTTTGACAGCATGTGGCAACCAGCAAGGATTTTTTTTTGTTACTCCACACAAGTAAGGTCCAAAGCCAACCATGAATACCTACTTCAGATGTGTGTAAAAGCCCCGTTGACTTCCCCAGTCCTGGCCTGAAGATTCAGCTTTTCCAGTCTTCTGTATTCCCTACCTAAGACTATGACACATGCTATCATCAAGTTTTGCCAACTCAATTTCCCCAAAAGTCTGCCTCATACCATTGAATCATTACTCTTCCATTCCTTCTGACTCTTTCACCCAAGAGAGAAAATGAGCTGAGAAAAGAAGGGAAAAGAGCTGTAGCTGCAGTGTGGAGCAAAGAACAGAGACTATTTGGGTTGCAATTATTGTGGAATTCAGTGTGTGGTGTGGGTGCAAGCCTATTTCCAGTGCTCCCATTTTTACTTTCACAGTATTTAATAATTATCTTTAAAGTCACAATTATGATAGCCCTTGAGAAAGTCAGAATGCTGTTTTTCCTCTATTTCTTCCCCTATGTTTATAGCTGCTATGACTGCCAGTAAAAAACCTGATCCCACAAAATCTGCAACCTGAAAACTCAGAACACAGACACACTTCCTTTCTTCACATATCAGCTTTTAGTCCTGAAGATTTTTAACGCTTTTATAATGATGATTTTTCCTTCTCTTTGATTCTTCCCACAGCAGACAATTTTACTCATTTATTTTCAACACATACCAACTCATACTGTAACTCATTAGCTGTCAGCATTTAAAAAAAAAAGATTAGCAGTGCCAACTACACCTCAGGAAAAACATTTGCACTCCACACAGCTCAAGTGTTTATTATATACTACAGAAAAAGTGGTGCATTACATTATCTATGTTCTTCTTTTTATTTCTGCAGGGCTTCACTAAGCTGACAACTGACAATTACATGCTTGTTTCAAAACTGCAGTAAGAAATACTTATTTGGAAGACATTGCATATATAATCAACACAATGTAATAGCTAAGGTTTTTTCTAATACACAAGCTACTTCTTTTCTCATTTGTATTTTGATAAAACAACTGACAATTTAACACAAAATGCAATGCTAACCTTGTGAAGAAAGATGTATTTTAGGACCACTTAATAGCCAAATAAGAAGCTAAATTCTGAATACTAAATAATAACAAACAATTTGAGTAGATACGAACCTACAATTAATTATGACACAAAGCTATTATCTCAGGAACCTAGAAAACCTACCCTTAAAATGACAGATTATGTTTAGGAGAAAGGTGTTACTTAATTAAAGATCCCTAATCTCGGTTCCATAATTTGTTGAGTTTTTAATACAATGGTCACAAGGAAGAATAACTATAAATTTAGGAAAATACAATGCCTTTGACATTTTTCATGTTATTTACATAGTATTTTACTGAAGTGTCTTTGAAGACTAAACTAGGCAAGAGCAGTCTGATCCTAGAAATACTCAGATATGCTACAGCAGATATTTAGAAGAGAAACAACTTAATCTTTGTTCCTCTTCCATGTGCATTATCACAGACAACAAGGATGCTGGTAAACAGGAAAGGAACAAATTATTTTTGTATTTGGCAGGAGAAAGAACATTGTTCAGTATAGCCAATCCAGTTACCTTCATTAACTCCCTTCAATGATAGCAATCCAAAAGACCTCCTTCCAATAAAGCCCCAAGAATTACTAACCCTGGGATAAATTGTATAGGATAACTAAATTATCTCAAACTAGTTTAGATTCTGGACCAGCCAAAAAAGTTCCTTACTTTTAAGACTGATCTTAATGTAATTTAGTATTCTCTGTTCTAAAACCTTGTTCCACATTTGAACATCTATGCTTCAGAGAAAAATTATGCTTTTCTTAAAACTTACCTGGCAATAGAGCTGAGTAATTTGCCCTACATAGGGCACTCTACTCTTACCAATGCATCAATCTGTAAGACTGGGATCCTGCACTGAGCTCTGAGTTTTATCTTCAGTAAATGTAAGAAAGCAGGACAATAGAGCAACACCCTTGGAATTCTAATAAAGTTGGCAGCAACTATACTCAGAATTTTACTTCATGATACAAGGCATTTTGACAAAGTCTAAACATTTATTTCTACATGAATATCCCAAATGCAGTACTCCAAGCATGTAGTTTTCTCTGGTAAAGGAGAGATACATTTTGATATCTTATTAGATATCAAAAGTTAGAGAGTATGGGAAGATGACTAAGGGTAAGAAGATAATGGTATGGAAGTCACAGGGGAAAACACAGTTGTACTCCCTGGATGAAACATGGTCAGCATATCTGACCTCCCACACACCATGCAATCTAAGGGGGACCCAAGAGAGGGTGGAGCAGAGTGGAGACACCATGGCCAGGCACTGTGTTGAAACCCTTGCAGAGGAGGGAATTCAGTGGTACTTCCTAGTTGATAAGCCCCATAGCAGCTGAAAACCAAGAGAGATAAAGAAAAATGTCCTGCTCTTGAATCAGCAACTGTTATGAAATCATTCTACTTGGACTAATGCATGTTCCCATCCCAAGGTTATCTCAGGTACTATCCTGAGATATCCACCCCCTAGTACAACCACCTCTCACTGACTAAGAGGTATGACTAAAGCCACTCAAGTTCCACCTAAACATAAAGAAATAGTATAAAAATGAGTTAAGAATGGGGAGAAATGGGGGAAGACTCCAGTGTAACTTCTGGGATCAGTCGACAAGCTGAATCTGTCTTCTCCCTCTTAGGGATGCCTGTAAGAAATGTGATTTCTGCATGCTGAGTGATTGTCTCAGACCAGCTTTTACTGGGGATTAGAGCTTGTTAGTACATTGCTTTAAATTTGTATATTGCTTTGAATATACTTTTTGCAGTCTGATACTATCACTGGCAAGTCTCAAACCTCAACCTTTCACAATTCTATTAATAAAGAGTGTCAGTCTGCCAACTGTTAATGCGAGTCCTCCAAGGGCACTGCCCTCTGCCCATCGTGGGTAAAGGAGGAGGAGGAGGTTCTTCTGTTAGGTGTGTGACCCTGAATAAGTCAGTGGAACAGATCCAGTGGGACTGCTCAGTGAAGGGTCCCATAATGGGACACTGACAGATTGGTTGGGCATAGGGGTCACGGCTTTCCTGGGGCTCTCACAGACTAATTAAACACAAAGGGGTTGAGGAAATCTCCCCTTTTTACATGACAGCAAGGAACATATTTTCCTCTGCTATCACGTTGCTTAGCTCTAGAAAAGTCACACTTCTTTTGCAGGTGTGGAGGACAGGAGGAAGCCCGACCATTTCCAACAATTAAATATTCAAATAGCTCTTTGCTTTAAAAAATACTTCTTGAAACTAGGAAAAAAAATAGGTACTCAAAGGACTGTTTCTATACATGGACAGACAAGTTAATCAACTGTCTGCTGCATTGCTTTGAATTTTTAATCTAAATTATTTCATTACAATTATTTACTACATAGAAATGCTGTCAATCACTTAAAATTTTTATTTGGTAAATGCATAAAAGTAGGACACTGAAAACAAGCTTACACACAACAATACACAGACACATTAGAGGATTAATATATAAAAATCAAGAGATGAAAAACTGACCTGCTGCTTCTGGTATTTGTTTAGCAGGGCTAAAAATACAATGTAACATCTGGAGCAGTCTGCTAAAGCTGCACAGAAGTCATTGTAGGTAGAAAGTTTGCTATAAAGAAAAAAAATAAAATATAAATGAACAAAAGGACTTTTTTCCACAAAACATTTTTTAGAAAGTCACTTTTCTCAGAGCACTTTTCTCTTAGATTCTCAGAGCTGTATTTTACAGCAAATGAAGTGAAAGCCAATACTCTGACTTCTAGCAGAGGCATGTGCAGTTACATAAGAGCACAAGAGAAGCTGAGCTATCCTTGCTACAGTGAATTATGGGGAGCAGCAAACAGAAGGAGCTTCCCAACCTGCTTGCCATATGGGCACAGTATGCTGACACCAGCACTTCTAGTGCTAAAGGGGAGAACTGGAATTTCAAGATGATGTGGGAAGTCAGACTAGAGGAAATAAGGAGTCCCTTCCTAGTGTACATCTAGTAGAGCCAAGCAACAGCACCAAGAGAACACATCTCTCACCAGCAATACAGAGACTGTGCCTCTTTGCTGGCAAGATTTATCTCTGCACATTTCCTAACAGCTGCTCCAGTCCTACACTGCTCACCTTGCCCATTGCCAAAACAGGGAATTGGATATGTTTTGGTCTCACCATAAAAATGCAGTAACAGAACAAGCTAGGATAACATCTTACCTCTTATGTAGTCAAAACCAGAAAAGATCTGTGTTGATGTTCAATTACAACTTATTACAGGAAGATTTACAGCCTTATTGAATGAATAATCTGAACAGATTGAACATATTCTTTACAAAGAAGCTGCCTAAAGTTGATTGAGAGAATAATCATTCTGTATTACTAGAAGACAAAACAAAATTCAAATCTGAGCTCTTTACTGCATATTTTTTGTGACTGCAACTTCCAGGAAGCTAATTAAATTTATTTTTATGGCTAATTTGTATTATTGGAGCGTGTACTTCTAATCTTAAGGAAAAAAAACTGAAGCAGTAGGAAACCTTGGGTAAGGTACGTAATTTTTTCTCCATATTGAATTCTATACCAAGTAAATGTCCTTATCAGAATTACAGTGTAAGTATCAATTACACTTAATTACAAACTCATCCCACTTTTCATGGCATTTTCCAAGTAGGAGAAATGCTCCCTCCTCAGAAGAAGTAAATATGCTCAAAGTGCTGTAATCATTGCTAGAGCTCATTTTTAGGAACAAAACTAGAGACAGATGTGAAAAAAGGTAGCATGGAACTGGGGAAGCCATTCACATGCTTTACAGTTAGCACAAAGAGCAAAGGAGCAGATTTGCCTGGTTTCAGCTGTGGGGAGGAAGGAGTGCCAGCCCCTTATGTAGCCATTGTTCAAAGCACAACTCAACCTCATTCAGAGAGGAGAACGTGATGGACAATTTGGAGCACCTGAACAGGAGGAGAAGTCCATAACAGAATCTCATTGAACACAGAGCCACAGGCAACATGACTCAATGCAGTAACAAAGCAGCAATGCAAATACTTCATCCAGCACATCATTCATAAATTGCACTTATAATCCCATTATTCCTGAAATTACCAACAGCCAATTTCACAACTTCTTTCAAATCCTTACATTGTTTGCAAGTCTATCTAGCACTGAATTTTGCAAGCTGATGCTTGGTAACTGGAAGACTTTTGACTGAGCAACTATTCAGACTACAAAATGATCTTTGTGGTGACTAACCCATACTGATCTCACTCTAAAAAGCACAACTTGGGAAGCAGCCGCTGGCTGCTCATAAAACTGAGATTCTTTCAGCACTTCCATCTGCACACTCAAGCCCTGATCCAGGGCTTAATCTTCTCAAACACTCTGTAACAGCTCAAAACAATGAACACTGGTCACATTTTCCCTCTTGTGTACTTTATTTCACAATACATAGTTCCTTGTGTAATTTCTCTCATTTTTTTTTTTCAAACATGGCGTAAACCAGGATTAATAAATACCTAAGAATTTATGCAGCTTTAAAATACAAGAAACGGTACTTTAAAAAACTCAATCAGAATTGGTGGGATCAAAGAATGACACAATACAACAAAATATTTTTCATGGGGATGATGAATCCAAGTCTGTATGGCTACAATTAAACAATTCTGTAAGCATTAACAGAGACACAATTAACATACAATACCATTACAAGCTACATAGAGCTCTTTAAAAAAGAGTTCAATGTAAATCTTCCAATCTCAGCGCTTGGTCGTGCCTCCTTTGAGGGAGGGGAGCTGCCTGCACACACAACTGCGTTCCCACGTACCTGAGCACGCTGACAATCCAGATGCACACGTCCTTGTCGCTGCTGCGCTGCTCCAGCGCCACGCAGAGCTCGGGGATGGCAGCGCCGGGGCTGAGCTGGCGCCGCGCCTGGGCGCAGTTGGCCAGGATCCGCAGAGTGGCTGCCAGCTGCACACGGGACATGGGACAGGCATTAACCACGGCTGCTCGCAGCACGGCAAAGGCCAGCCCTCACCTACAGCACCCAAAGCTATGCCTGTTAACACTCTGCAGGCTGGTATAAACCAATCAATAACAACAGCAAACTTGCAGGCAGCAACACGGTGTGTTTGGGATAACTGCTTGAAAATGTAAGATTGACACTGGTCTTTGCCTGCATGTAACCTCCTTCCATGAAGGACACGTGATCTTTCATATGCTTTAAAATCTTGCATGTCTACAGCTGTGTACCAAGTGGAATTAGGTGAAATGCTGTGGATGGTTAAAATAAATTTTTTGCGTAATTCTTCAATAAATCTTAGTATTGCAAATTTATATTTAAATCTTGAAAATACTGATATATATTTTGATGGTAACTGCAAACTGCAAACTAAAATGAATTGATTTTAAAACACAATCAGATTTATTCAAATTTAAAAATTAAAAGTTAATCATGATAAAAGAAATCCACTGTTTGAACAATATAAAAAAGAAAAGCTTACGTGCTCAGGTCTATTTGAAGAAACCAAAATATTTTCAGATGATACTGTTCTATTTCAAGGAGCTTAAAGCATAATCTAACTCTGGTAGATGTACAAATACATCACCTATTGCACATCTTGAAATATTCTGATTCTCTTCCAAGGCAAGAGTATTCAAATGACAAGGTCAGACAGGCAATGACATTTAAATTAATTTTGATCTAATCCAGAACTTACTACAAAATGAATATGAAGTCATTCAATCTTAAGTGAATATGGGAATTCTTCAAAGTTTTCTTATTCAGAGTGAAGTTATTAACTTCAATTTGGCTTTGAATGTAGTTTGATAAGGCACAAAAACCATCTGTTCAAATTGTTTCTTATCACAAAAAACTCTGGAAATTAAGCATTTTATCATTAAATTGGACTGCTTATTGAGTGACATGTAATTGCTAATTTTAAAGAAAAACTCTCGACAAAGAGCAGGTTAAGATGTTTTGTTTCAGCTTTTGCACATAGGACTCTATGCATATTCTGTCCATTCCCCAGTAGCTTTCAAATTTGCTGTCCTACTTAAAGAAATTTGACAGCAGAGTACAAATCTTCAGCAACCCCATGATGCTCTGTAATGGAGCAACAGGAGATGCAACACATCAAATTGGAGAAGTAAGGCATAGAGGGGAAAAAAATGTGATTATGTGAATGGATTTAGCCTCAGCACTAAAAATGTAATTTATACTATATTCATAATACAGAGAATCTGAACCTACAGAAGCCATTTGCTTCACATCACTTATATTTTAAGAAGACACCTGGGATTTTTCTTATTTATTTTAACTGAACAACTGCAAAAAAAATTTCCAGATGCATATTCTTTCTCAAGTCATGATGCTTCAAAAATCAACAGATATATTTTAATAAATATATTCTGACCAAATACTTTGCTTTTCAAAAGTTTTGGTAGAAAAACTCTTGTCACATGGAATAGAGACAGGCGACTCCATTCACTGCTTACATACAAGATGTTCACATACAAATGCTTACATACAAGATGTTCAGCCTATCATTCAAAAAATGGTATTTTTTGAATTCTAGCTAAGCTTCAATAGACACAATAAAGGAAATGAAAGATAAGGCACATATTAAAAGTGTTGTCCAAACCCAGACAAGAGCTTTCACTGCAGCAAAGAGACTTACATGTTGGATAATGGAAAAAATGTCAATAGATGATGGTAAAGAGGTCTCCAAAAAGAGAGTAAAATTTTTCAATGCTTGATACAGTTAGATGGTTCAAAATCCTCAAGCAGTAAATTCTATCAAGAGTCACCCTCAGACAAAGACAGGTTGGAAAGGAAAAGCAGTGCAAAATTACATATACATTTAAATGTGCAAGAAAACAGCATTCAGCAGTTCACAGAAGTCTATATCCATAAAACACAGTTAATGTACAACTGAAACCTGAAGAGTACAGTTTGAAAAATAATAGAAGCTAGCCAGACAGCAGCTGAATTCTAGAGATATTGTGATTGATTCAAGCAGACCCTATGTTTCAGGGAGAAATGCATAACAATTATCTTTAGCAACCCCCACCAGTCCTAATCCTTATGTTGCCATATGAAAGATCAAATTCACCCAAACAGAAAATTTAACTGCTGACAAATGCTATTTTTAAAGGAGAAGACATTTAAGCGCTTTTCAATTAAGGAACAGGGAGTACTTATTAAGTCTTGACAGTGACTCTTCAAAAATCCTGGTTTTTGAGTAAGCATTACTGTATTTTGTATAAATATTAACAGACTGTTAGGTTAAGCAACACTAAATTAATCAAAGTTAACCCTGGTTTCATGCCCTCTATTAAGGGAAAAAATATTACAAATATTTTTATTCTTGTATTGTATGACTTCTGCAAAAAAAACATTGCGGAAGAATGAAGAAATCAGATAGTGACTTTATTCCCACAAAAAGGATCAAGCAAGATTATGTATAACACTGCCATCTGGTGATTGTGCAATTATACAGTTAAAGAATGAAGAGTTGGTCCCAACTAAATGGGATACTTCAGTTCCCAAGGTTAAGAGATAGCAGAGCTTCCTTCAGAGACCACTGTGACCATTTAAAGTGTTTTTCTCCTCCAATATAGTTTGCTTTCTATAACTGAAGACATTCTTTCTGTACATCACTGGCTATTTGATCTGTTGCTACAAGATGCAGTATGTTATGAAAACTTTATTCTGAAGGCATCGATCACAGAAGAGACTTTCTCCAACCATCCCTAAAACAGAACTACTCGTTCATCTATGATGACTGATCAATTAACTCACACGAAGGAAGTAGTGCACATGGATTTGTTGAAGGAACCAATATGAGAAAGTCACACAGGAATCCCATAGAAGTAGGAATCACTACTTTTCTCACAAGAAGAAGAGAACCGAAGTATCTGTACTATTATAGAAGAGAACACAAACAAGTGAAAGAGCAATCTCAATAAGAGACAGCTGTCAGTACTGACTTCTCCAGAAAACACTCAAGAACTTCTTAGAAACAGTCAGTCTATTCAAACAGTACAAAGCAGTTTTGCTACACTTCCGTTTTAACTGAAAAAAGCAGAGATAAGAGAGATTTCTTAAAGACAGCATAAAATACAACATTTTCCTTTTACACATGTGCAAACTAAACCCTTGCTTAAAAAAACCTTAAATTTATCCGAGGCACATAATGGAAGAAAAACATTCCTCCGAAGTTGTGAGGAATATCAGGCAGATAGTCAAAATCCTGGAAATAAACTGATTTATTAGTTTAATTACTAAGATTTAAAAAATCAGACAAAAATAACCAATAGTAATGTGATGATGTAGGCTATCTGTTTTCTCATATAATTTCAAGAAGTATAAAATCCTGTGCTTATAAATTAGTAGAGAATTAAAGAAATCTGGCATAATTAGCTGACAAACCGAGTGCAAACACTACCTCAGAAAATTGTCCAATGTATTTTCCTATGATGTACCTGAAAGTTTACAATTCAACCATTGACTAAACATTACATCAGTAACTTCCAAACAAATGCTAGGAATCTACCTGGCAAATCCTTGGTAAACACAATATCCATCCCACAGTGTTTCTAAAATACATGGGTTTAAAAAGTTTTAGGGACAAGGATCAGTTTTCAGAGCCACCACTTATCAAGGTGCTTTGTATGTGAAAACAGTTTTGAGCCTGCTGCCTTCAAAAGATTTAAAAGGTGTTTGCTTTTGCAACTACTTTTTCCTTATATTGCAGTTCTTCAAAAACACTTTGTCAAAGAAACACAGCTATTTCCATATATATTTTTAAAATATATTATTCTTGTAATAAAAAAACTTTTTGTAATCTAGAATATTGCAGAACCAGTTTGTATTTATTATTTCAGTTTCAAGAATTTAGATAGAGAACACATTTTTATCTGTTTACTACAGTATCCAGAATATTGTCAGCACAATAAAGTAGTAATGAGAAACTGGTTTATTAGGTATGAAAATATTTCTATTAACTTCAGAATTTCTAAAGCCTTTAAAACTGACTACACACAAACATCTGTGGTAACTGCATTAGGTCTGAACAACTTCATTTAACTTCTTAAAAATAAATCTATTGAAATAGAGGTACAACTCTGTCAGTAGCACACAGGGTTAGCTTATCTCCTCTAATTAAATTTTTAATTTGCCCTTGAAGAACATTAGAAATAAAACTAAATGCTAACCTGGACTAATAAGTGGCCCAACTTGGAGAAATATGTGTCATGTTCTTTTATGTTATTAATCTGCTTCATTAATTCCAGAAACATTTCAATAGCTCCTTTGCTGACCATTTTAAAACGAAGTACTTCCTTTTCAGACATGACTTTTATAGCTGCCATGCAATAGACAAGAGCTTCGTGGTTTGTTTGTAGGTCTTCATTCCACAGAACCTGCAACAAATAATCTGAAAGGAAAATTATCATTCAGAATGTCTAATATTAAAATTTATATTTGCTACAATCCAGTCATTAAAGAGATTAACAACTGGAAAACACCCTCAGACTGAACTCTTACATTTCTAATAAGTAGGCTAGAAAAATTGGATATCTGGACTGAAACCAAGAAACAATTATTAATGAATAAGAGAATGGGCCTGACTTTTGTTCTTCTAGACTTCAAGAACCAGTATAAGCTGTAAACACATAGCAGGAATCATTGAAATTCTCAGTCAAGATTTGCAAAAGTGATTGTGTGGGCCTGGAATTTTGTGTACTTCCCACTACTTCCTTAAAAATCAAACGTCTTCAAGCATCTCAAATGGAACACTAAAAGGCACAGGTGCCTAATTCAACTCTCACATTTTCAATCTGTTCATAGTCTTTTTAGATTTACTTTTTATGTAGGTAAAGTTGACAAAGAAGTTTTGTTTTGTGCAACCACTGTCAGACATCTGAAATGTTAAAATTTACAGTTAACACATGGCCAAGGTATCTTTTGCAGTCAAATTGAGACATTCTGAATTTAGTGGGGTATCTTAAATAAATGAGTAATCCTAACCAACATTATACTTTTAAACTTCTAGTAACTGATTCAAAGAGATATTTATTTCTGCTTCCTGTGTTCCATTCAGTTCCATCTGAATAAAAACATTTTCCTATATCTTTAAACTGAAGAGATTTAATTTTTTTTTTCTGTCTCAACTGAAGCTGTGGGAAATGGTACATATAAATATATATATATATATATATATGTATGTATGAATGAAGTATACACTCTAGGTTCTTGTGCAAACTCCCACCCTCACCAATTAAATCACTTGGGTTGTGGCAATGTGCAAACTCAGGTTCCTGCTCTGTACAGTATCAAACAGGGTCTTGAACAGTAGTTGTCTATGCTGGGATGAAGGATTAACTTATTTCTTCTACTGGAGATGCTACACTGCACATAAATAGTTCTCAGGGACAGAAGACAAAAAAGAAATTGAATCTATAACCCAGTGACTGTAACAGGGATCTGGGCAATTGTGATGATAGGCCAGGGTCACGTCTTCTTCTGGGACAAGGTGGGTCCAAAACACAAAGAGTGAATAAACAAATAACACCTACAAATACTCTTTCCTTCACTAGTTTTTAAAATACAGGGGAAGAAGAGCAAGTGAAAGAAAAGTGAATGAGGATGGAAATGAGAGAAAAATATGACTTGTTCAAATGCTGTGTATGATGCTGATTTCTACAACCCAGCTGCTCTATTTCCTGTGAGTCCCTTCCTTACCACCTGAACACCATGTCTTCATTTCTGACAACAATTTTGTACTAAACATTAAGACCATGAATACTCTCAGCTATTTAAGCGAATATACACATATGCCTTAACCAATACAGATGCAATAACTGCTTGCAAGACCAAGGCCTACATCAGTAAAACATACGGAAGTTTTAATGAAAGGAATGATTTCAATCAATACCAAGTATCATTTGCACACTTTAATTTTCTTTATATTTCTCATATTTGCAAGGGAGGGTGTGCATGACACAAACACTGCTGCAAACACAAAAGATCTTAGAGCCACTGCTGACAGTTCTGCAAACCATTGGCTCAATGTGAAGCAGCAGCTATAAAAAATATTTTAAAAAATTACTATTCTCAAGGTCCTCCCTGATGATGGCCAACACCACAGTCAGCATTATCTCATTTCTATAAAATTTGCTGCAGACACAGCTCGAATTCTACAGATAGTTTTGTTCCATAAATCTCAAGAAGGATCCACTGGAGTTTGAGAAGGTAGAGAAAAGGACTTATAAAGCAACTGAATGACACAATATCTGCTCAAAGAGCTAAGAGGCTGAGATGCCTCAGTGTTGAAAAGGAGAAGACAGAGATATGTGATAAGACTGCCTTTTAAAAAATCCTGAAGGTGAAGGGTAAACTGACTGTACAAACTCTTATAAATGCTGTAAAACTACAAGCAGGGGGAAAGAAAAATATATAGATTTAAAACACACAGAGAATTGCTGGAAATTGTTCTATGGCGTCATAGAGGGAGACAGAATCAGAAAATCCAAAAAGGCAAATGAATGAACAAAAGACATATAAATGGAAACTAAAAAGGGATTAGGCAGGGATGCACCATCCAATGTCCCTAATAGAATAGAACAGTTCTCGATGCTGGAGTAGCGCTGGGGGAACAGATCACAGAAAACACACAAGATCCAGTGCTCCCCCTGAACAGCATTCCCCATCCCCATTGCTACTGAAACACAGAGTACTGGACTAGACCAACCATTAGTTTGACCTAGTCAGGCAATTTTTAGTCTTTCTTCAGAATTTTTCATTCTGAAAATGTTTTTTCAAAGATGAACAACTTTAACTGTTGAATTTCAACATCTGACTTACAGACAAGAAAGAATACATACCCAATAACGTATCATTTTGAATGATGAAATAATTTTTTTCGTTCCTACAAATTTTAAATGCTAGCTTGCAAACACTGAGAAGATTTTTTCCATCTACTTTCATCTGCAAAGAAATTAAAAGACATAAAATCACAACTCTCACACAACTATTAAATTACAGCTGAAATCCTAACAATACATTAAAACAAACTGAAGATGTATGCAGAATTAAAGGAAACTGAAATAACCTGAAACTCAGGTATTTTAAATTTTATTTAGCAAACTGTGCTGGCTTTAAAATAACCATTTTTAACTTTTAATGTATTAATATAAACAGGTAGTATATCAATAACTTGCAGGATTTTTTCTCCAATTCCCTTACAAAGAAATTCTGTATGGAAGTCAGTGGTTTGGCGTCTATGGCCCTACCACAAAGACCTCCAGTACAACAATACATGCCATAATGAAATTTACTCTCAGCTATCAGAAAACACAATCTTATGATGAGAGATTGTGAAAGGGAAGGAAAGGTGGTAAAAATACATTGACATCTCTCTTCCTTTCCTCTGCATTTCAAGGGCAATTTCTTCTAGGCTCATGGATTTTGGAAGATTACAAAGAAAAATGTCTGTAAAGGAACCTTTCTCTTTAATAAGTACCACTTAGCAACTCTGTGGTATCTGAGTATGTAACTGTATCTTCTCAATAAGATAACTTACACTACCTTATAGGAGAACACAACTCCCTCAACAGACACAAACATTACTCAGATGCCTACAACAAAATGTTAGTGGGCATCCTTTCACCAGTGACTGCCCATACATGCTTTGTAGAACATGAACAAAGATGTTCTAAAGCACAAAATTTAATTGAGAGTTTTAATCAGAAATATTAAAGCAAAAGATTATTTACATTCACACACCTTCAAAAAAAACCCCCTCTATTTTAGTATTTTCAGAACAAGATCAAGACATTGTTTAAAAACAAAGCTTAATTTCTATTGTACATTTTATAATCACTGGGTTTTTTAAATCCCTGCATGTGTATCCCAGTAGAGAACACTGTATCTTTTCCATGCCTATACAATATTACTGCCACCATACACCAACTATTCTATTTTGTGCCCCTCCTTCCTCCCCCAGATGTAACTTCTCTGCAGAAAATAAGCTACAAGTGCTGATGTAGATGGGCAGCAGACTAGTATCCCTGTGGTAGTAAACTGTACTTAGGAAAAGGGTTCATTTAGACACAGTTTACAAGTATGAAATGAAAAATTAAGTGCAAGTTGTAATTCATGATTTTGGGCTTCACATTCTACCAAAGAGCATTTCAAAACACTTACAGCCAGAATAATCTTTGCCAGCTTCAGGGAAAGTGGATCTGAATCAAGGTCCACAAGTTTATATAATGTCTTCAGAAGGATGTTTCTTCTTTTAAATCTTTTTCCAAGCATATTTCCATCACCCAGTGCTTGATGGAGCTTGGTACAAGCTAGACAAAGGTGTTCTATATTGTCTTCTCCTTGAAGGGTGTAGGAAAGGAGAGAAAAATAAAAACTAATTATCAGTGCCACTTTATGCAAAGCATCTCAATACATGAAGACACAGAAGAACAAAATAAAGAATAGGTTGTGCAACAACAAAAATAAGACACCAAATAAATGTCTTCACACGATAACGTGATCCCCAGGAATAATTTTATTCTGCTTTGTCAAAAAAAGGAGACTCAAGATGAGAAATCATTGAGCCAAAATAAAACCTACAGCTAAAATGAAGCTCACCTTTGATGCTTGATAATCAGATTGACCAAATGTCTACCAGGAAACTGTGTCTCTGAAAACATTCTTTAAAGCGCTCCACCGAACATTAGATGTGAAAAAGAGATCATTAAGGAGCATTTTTCTCCCCATATACGTAACTTTATACATCAAACCTTGCTGGGATAAAAAAAAGTGAATGTAAAAACTTGCTAGAACTCTTCAATGTAGAGGTGTAAGACACATTTGAGTGGAATGTTGTCCTATTGACAAAAAAGTGATCTACTTCCTCACCCAAGTCCCTGAGACTCTGTTTAAAATATACAAAAATAAAACAGAATTGCAAAAAGTGCATCTCAACACAATGGAATCATGTACATGTTTACTTTACAGAGAAAAGGAGAAGTCTTTTCTATTTTTAAAATTGAACAGTGAGATTTTTAAAAGATTTTCTTACATTTGCTTTTGCCCATAAGGTGACACTTACAAAGTCCACATAAATCCACACGAGCTGGCGGTATAAACTCTGCATTTACTCAGGGTGTACTTCTCAGCTGAAATAAAGTCATATTCAAGGAGGCAAAGCACTTGTGATGAAACATGTCTGAGGCTCCTACCCTGTAGGCAGATTCAAGGACTGATCCCTCAGGCTGAGAAGTGCCTGGAAGCTCTCAATTTTCAATTATCACACTCAAGGAACAGCAATGACTATTCCATTTCTAGTCCCATCATGACAGAAAATTTAACAAAATTTAGCATGATCCTAAATGCTCTGCTCCAATAAGCTGTAAACAGAGTGGCAAGGAACCAAAACTGAAAGGTCTTACTCTCCATTTCATCAAAATTAACAACAAAAATTATTCATCACTCATCCCATGGGGCATTTTAAAGCTTAACCTCCTGAGTATTGGAATGTAACAAAATAAATTATTTGTTCCTCTAGAAAAAGAGACTTCAGGGGTTTTTTTTGTCATATTATAAACAACTCAAGCACATGATATTCAGAAGAATTTAGGCAATAAATAAGTTCCAGGTTAACTACTGATTTGTTTTTGCATGGAAAGGCTTCTGCAAATATTTTTGCATGAGGAAGGTGAAGAAAAAGGCTTCTCCATTAATAGATGAAAAACTAAATGCAACCTAAGTTCATGTGCAGGGAATGAGGTAAAAGTTACGAAGCAAATGACTGCACGTGAAATTAAAAAATATCAAATTACCAACAGACCCATTCAAAGCATTTCAAATATGTAATTCTAATATTAATAAAAATTATGCAGTAAATAGTCTAAAGAAAGCAATATATCACACAGTTGCAGGAGGTAGTGATGCAATTCAGTTACAATTTGTGTTAATATTAAAGAAGTAGTAAAACTCAGGTCTTCATGTATATGTAGTACTACATTCAACCAATTGGTGAGAAAGTATCATTAGATAATGTCATCCATTATTAGAAAAACTAAGCCATAATCAGGTTTTTATAAAAGCTAGAAAAACCCCAATACACTAACCAAATCAAGTGAATACTGAGGAAAGGGAGCATGAAAACTGATTTTCCTTAGCTATATTCATGACAAGGGAAAGACATGATTAGATTTTACCTCTAAATTTTATTTTTCTTACAAATAAAGAACATCTCACCATGCAAAACCGTTACTCAGTGGCTGATATTTGACAATCTTGGCATTAAGCAAGGAAAATGTGCTGTTACATAGCTGTTTTCAAATTTCCTGATCGCTGTTTTCTATACATCAGTGACAGACATGGGAATGAGAATCCTGTCTTTTTTAAACAATTACATATATTGGGAATCACTTAGCACTGCACAGGTGTTTCATATTCACAAACATCTGCAAAACTATGCAAAAAAATGTTCTAATCTGTCACATGCTATCACAAACACTGCTAAACATCCTGTAAAACAGAACTACTTTTAAAAACAAACCTACTTTCTATATTCCCACCATTCAAATAAATACAGTGTCTACAGAAGGCAACTGAACAACTTTTTCAATGCAAAATGGATTCCAGAGTATAACCTTTCAAGCTATACTTAATTTACTCAATTTTGCTTCAGTACTCTGAGTCATTACATACTTTTCTGGCACATCTAACACTTTAATCACAAGTGGAAATTTTCATTAAGATTTCCTTAGTTTTTCAAAATGGATTGAGACCTTCAATACAGTCTATGGGTAAAGCAGTGAATCTGTGCCTTACTTATTCTTGAAATTATTAGCTCAACACTGACTGCTAAGCTGGCAGAGCTATGCTGTCTAAAATAAGGTAATTTAATCAGACAAGATCTTCTCTAAACCAGTTCTAGAGATTTTTACAGGATCACAGAATGGGTAAGGTTGGAAATGACCTCTGAATGTCATCTGGTGGAACCACTGTGCTCAAGCAGGTCCACCTAGACTGCCCAGGCCAGTTTTACACTGTGAAGTCACTGAACATATGGAAGCACAAAAGGCCACATACCCCAATTCTGTTATTATTTTGCAGTAAACTGCAAAAAAAAAAAAAAAGAGTCCCATGCTTCCTGCAAGAAACAGTACAGAAAATACACCCTTTCAGAGCAGTGTTACCCACTTTTTTCCAGGTCACGCAGAATTGGAAGAATCCTTGTATGCCAAAAGAAATCTTCCTCTTCCCATTCATTTATTCTTGTTTCATCCTTTAGGCCTTCAAAATACATTCAAAACAAGAGCATACATTCAGTGAAGATTTCACTTTCTACAATAATAAATAACCACAAATACTTTATTCGTTAGTCAGAAAAAAAATCTAAAAATGTCACGTTTTGCTATATTCTGGGTTATTCTATGAATTAAAGATTTTATTTTTATTTACATGTTCTCAAAAATGAACATTTCAAACAAAACTAGATGGATAAGTGGTTTGCTACGTAAAGCTGTATTGTAAAGCTTTTGTTTGCTGACATTAATGTTTCATTTGATCACTGAATTGGAAGGTAATGACTACATAAACATCAAAGTGTCCTACTATTTCTCAGCTCTGTGCTCACGTGACAGTTTATTATTTGTTTAAAAAAATATATATACTACAGACAATCCTCTAGGATTGTAGAATTTTATCTAGTACATATGCATGATATAACACTAAGCTTGATTAACTGACTGGTCAGTTAGGGAAAGTCCTGTTAATTATTACATCCTGTTAGCAATTCTAACTACTTCATGCAATTAGTTTTGTGAACTTCATGACTAAACTTTTATAAAATGCATGTTTATTCCTATTCTTCATTGCATTCAGCAGTTTGTCACATGGCAACCTCTGAAATGAGTAGGAAACTATAGATATGTGAGAAAGATATTTGCCTCCAAAAAACATATCAGAAATCTTGAAGACAACAAACTCCCACTGTTCTTGACTGCCCTCAGCCAAATACCCCCGTGACTCAGGAAAAGCTACTTTTCACTATCAGAAACCTTGTCCACTTCACAAAGAGAGTTTTTAGAAATACTTAAGCTTTTTTACGCTTGGCTGCAGAAAGAAAATACAAAAAAAAAGTATCACAGACATGAAGGCAAAAATTGGTAGACCTAAAAACCAGTGGACTAGAATTTTTCTGGAAACAAGACTGAGAGCATGGATCTGTTTTCAGACTGGACAAGGAAGTTGGTGAAAACACTGTTTATTAAAAAATGGAATCCAGGATTCACTGTCACATGGATGCAGTATCACTGGGAATTATTCTGATGTGCTGAACATCCTTTACACCTTCACCTAGTATTTTTGAAGTGACAAAACTCTGGCCCTGACCATTGGGCCACTACAGATGGAGAGCCAGAGCTTCTGCGAAAATCAAGATGTAAAGGATCTAACAGTTGCTTACAAGGTGCATGTAGCCATGTGTTTGGAATTCAAGACTGGGGTAAGCTCTTTTTCTTGCAGGCAAGCAAAGTTGTTATAAAGACAGGGTCTGGTTTGTTGATTTGTTTTTGCATTGAGGTTTTTTTAATAGGGAAATAAAAGTCACACAACTCTACTAAATAAGAAAGCCATTAAGACTGGATTATACACATTTCTTTAAGTCACGGATTTTCTGAAAACGTCTCCTGTTGTTCACTACTAACTCTTGCATTTAAAGGACAATGTAAATTCCTAACACAAATATGAAGGAACACAGAAACTACTATACTACCTGAGAACACCAATAACAAGAGGTTTGCATCACAAGGAAGTATCCCAGACCTTAAGACAGTGACTGTCTACTGGCATTACTTGGAACAGTAAAACAATTTAAAACTTCCTATTTTAAAAACTTGCTCTTTAGAAAATAACCAAAAGACTCATTTTTTGGTTTATATTAACTGTCTATCTACATCTTACACACAATCTATCAAATATACCTATTTCAAAAGATCATTAAAAAATGCTGCTATTTCATAAGTAATACACTATATTTGTTATATATATATTATATATAAGTACATGTTATTAGCAAATATTATTCTTACTATTTTGCATGGCATTTTATTTTGTAGATCAAATGAGTTGCCAGTCTTATTTAAATTGATGAGTAGCCTAATCAATAAAACACTGTGCAGTGCTTGCAATGAAGTGAAAATTCTGCTCCAGATAATGTAAATTCTGAAACTTAATGAAAATTCTGCTCCAGGATAATGTACAAGTACAGCTGAAATGAGAACACTACCATAGCGTGCACACTTCCTTCCTGCCACAAAGCCCACATATTGACTCAATTATTTCTTTTATTTTCTATCTGTAGCTACCTCTCTTAAACTGAAAGATGGAACTGCCTTTTTAACTACACATATACTTAACTTCATTAGTCAAGAAATAGAAAACTTCAGGCATGCATTTACAGATAGAGCCAAACTTCTCACTTTAAAAAAAAAATACTAAATCCATTTAATTTTCAGTTCAGAATAAAAAGAACAATGCTTTTTTGTACTACTCTGCTTCCCTTGTCTCATATTCATCAGAAGAATACAGCAAACTGAAAGTCATAATGGCATAATTTTTTTAAAAAATAATAATACCTTATATCTAAATAAGGTATACCTTATATCTAAATATAATTATCGCTTATACCTAAATAAAAAAGAAGTTCATTAGCTTTTACTAAACAGTACTAATCCTAGCAGTAACAATGACCAGACAATACACAACCATAAAGTAAAGCAACATTACTAAATTGTATGTGTCTGGGAGATTTTTTAAGCTGCTGATGAAAAGTTAGGGTACTAGCTATATTTAAAATATTGCAGAAGCTGTCCAGAACTTTCTAATAGAGCAAACCACAATTCAACAGAAAAAATACTCAAGGCAAAAGAATGCAGCAAGTTCAAATTGGTTGTTTCAGTTTTCAATAGGTCTTAACCACTGCTTTGCATTCTGGTCAAAAAAAAAATCACTAATCAGTCTACATTTATTGGTTGCTGTTTTTAGCATGTAAATACAAGAGCCTTAGCAACACTGAGCTTTCAAAAGCTGAGCACTGCCTGACTTATAATGTTTAGCCTTTTCACTGAATACTGAGTGGCCACGAATAGATCAATATTGAAACAGTCTACCTCCTCTCTAAAATGTTAAGATAAACACAATTCATATCAGAAAATAAAAATAATTTGTAAATGAACAGTCCACCCAGAATCCCATTGCAGAGAAGAAATTATGGAGAATTCCTAGTGCTATCCCCCTCTTTATTGTGGGATAAAAGATGAAGCATGCACATACTAAGGAAGCTACATAATGTTAAGAAAAGTAGACTTAAAAAGAAACAATCCTAAAAACACACTTCATATTTTCAGTAACACTAATACAATAGCACAAACTAATTAAAAGGCTTGTAAGTGTACTAACTTGCATAACATGGTAAATACTCTCTGCTCCTCATAAAGAAATGAGCACAGAGCACAGTACAGCTTTTGCCAGAATGATCTGGAATAACAGTATTTCTCAGTTCTAGAAAAATAGCAATAAAGCACAATAATAGCACAGTAGAAACTTCAGGTCTCCAAACCAGCCTCTCAAATATGCACTTGTGATGTATGAAATGTGCCAGCTATGAGGAAATATTATTAAAATCTGTTATGTAAAATTAGCAAAATGCATCCCTACACAGCAATCCAAAATCTGTTTCTTCAGACAATGCAGGCTGGCATAATTTTGTTAAGTTTCTGTGCAACTGTGACAGATTAGAAAAAGTGATGGGCAAATAAGGTATTAATGGATTGGCAAATTCTTAAGCCTAGATATGGGAAAAGCAAGATAGAAAATACCAATGGATATTTAGAGTGAAGATCTCTTGAATATTGTTTCTTTTCATTAAGAACAGTAAGAAAACCCAATATATCTAGAAAACCAAAAAATATTGTTCAGTGAATAATAATAAACAATACTGACAAATCACAAGAATTACATCATTTCTATTAGACTGTATTTCACATTTTCTGAATGGAGATTGAAATCCCTTGTACCTGTTACTCTTCTCTTCTGGCCTGAAGTCCTCAGCTGTGATGTCTTTTTGCCAGGCTCTTCCATCTGGTCACTAAAAGATACAGTATGAACACAGAAAAGCATTATCAGAAAACTGTGCTCAATATGCTTGTTCTTTCACATGCATTGAGTTGTGCATATTAATAACTAATTAGAAAAGATGATGTTACTTTACTAAGTTAGCAAGTTAGCTGTGCATTAAAAGTTACATGCAGATACAACCTCCTCCCATATGTATTACAGAAAGCTCCTTCAGAAATACTGACATATTCGCACCACAAGAGGTCACCATTATGGAACACAAAAACCAAGCATTTCTGCTTGCTCAATAAAATGAAAGATGAACCAAACTAAATTCAGAAAGAGATAATTTCTGTTTTACCATCAACATCATTAAATGAATATAAAACTCAACTAGCTTAAAACTCTAAGTTCATTCATTCACAAGGGCTGTATTTTTTTCTGACAGGATTAACACTTTTGTAATATTTAATGAGAAGATCTTCCGAAGAAACAAGCACCTGAGTAACCTTTAAAGTGTATATTAGAATTTCTGTGTCTGCCAGTGAATTATTGCTAACTGTGTAGTGGTCACTAGTTCTGTCAGTACAACAGGTATGGTGCCATTTCTGTTGTTTTACAAAGTAATGCCATAACTCCTGCTGATTTTATGATTTTTCTGTGGACAGAGGAAACTACTACACACATCTATAATAAATTTAGTTATTCTGTTTGCCTAGCTACACACTCAAGCAGCGCTGATTTAAAAGAAATATACAAGGTGTAGACTCTCTGCTATCAAACTGGAATCTTTCCTCCTGTACTAAAGAGGAAAGTCTTAATCTATGTTTTCTATTCTCTGTGTATGTTTAATTTAACACTTCTTATTCCATTTAAAGTTCATGTACCAATACAACCCAATCTCCTGAACTCTTCTAAAGATGACAGTATGTTAGCAATGTCATTTCAATTTTTTTAACCAGATAATTTAGTTACTCTAAGGCTTAAAGCTAAACTGTTGTTTAAGTAGTTTGCTGGATTGGTGCCTAAATCCTGTCTGTCAGTCCAGACAGAAGATGTAAGTCATCCTATCAACAGATGGGGACAGAATAAAAGACAAAGATCTTGCAAGACCAGTTCACTGCAAAAGGGACTGGATAGCTCACTGTGATCAGTGAGAAATTTCCCAAGCAATCACACTACAGAAGAACAGTTGCTTGATTATGGCTAACAGTGAATAATGTTTTATTTTTACAGCATGAGGATATAAGTGCTCCAAAATCCTTATACAAACTACCTTGAAATTATTTCAGCTCACATATAGCCATTTCTACAACTCTGGAGAAGCAATACTTTATAAAGTAAAAAAGACAAGTGTTTGCCTCTCTAAAATTGTCTGACATCACTAAGAAAGAAGGGGTTTAGAGCACATTTTACAGTTCAATGTATCGGTAGAAACAAAAATTTGATTCCATTTCTGTGAATGCCTTGTCCTACAAACTTTAAAAGTTTCAGAAATGTTTCTACAAGTTTCAGCCATCTCTGAAAACAAGACTACAACTTGAAAGGATGCTGGATAAGCAAGAGAACAACTTCAGTCACCCTATACTAAACACAGCTATATTCAGAAATCAGTACCTTCAAAATTGTGTGTAGGCATGATGATACTACATGCCTATATGAATACGGATGTTTGAACTCACTTTCCTCAGAGAAAGAGTTTTGTAACTATATCCTGTCTGTGCCTCTTCCCTGAAAATGTAAATCCAGGATGAATCCAAGAAACTCAACAAAGACACTCCTATGAATTTTGTTGGAAGCAAAAGCAGATTAATATAAAAAGCCACGGAAACAAAGGATGAGTTAATTTACCAGAAACACCACATGTGTGAGATGTAGAGTAAGACCATGTCAATTGTGCATCAAAAAAGTTGGGCTGGAATCTGTTGTTTTTTAAACACCAGTATCAACACTATTATCACCAGTTTAGAGACTTAAATTAGTAGGAAAGCAAATTGTTCTGTAAATACCAGCCATACAACCATCTATGCTTTTGGGAAACATCCTCGTAAGTCACCTGAACTTCCATTATTTTCAGAAAATGAATACACTGAATACCTATATAAATGGGAATGGTTCGTGGGCAGGCTTATCTTTAGGGAATATGTACAATTTAGGAATTCTGTGAGAGATTATAAAATCCCTTTATAAGTCTTTACCACTCTGCCAACTTCATTTTAGTTACACAGACTTTTGGCTTGTTATCTTTACATTCTCATTTAGGACTGAAATTTAAATAGAAGTATCTTATTAAAACAATGCCGTTAAAATATAATCAACCTATTATAAAAAATAAGTCACCTACTAGTGAAGGGAACTGGCTTGTCAAGAGAGTGGTTGCCTTGGAAACAAAGTCAATTGGCAGAAATCTGATTGTCTGATAAGGGCCTCATCAAGAAATCAACTGACAGAGGCTCCGATGATTTACAGAAGAAAAAGAACTTGGCAACTGGACCATTTATCCTTCTCATATAAAAGAAATCATAGTAGCCTCAATGAAGAACACTGCTTTCTTGAAAGTACACAGAGTGTGAGGACTTCAAAAGGAAAGTGAGCTGGTACTGGAGTAATGTGGTGTGGTGGGTTGACCTTGGACAGATGTCAGGTGCCCAATCACACCACTCTTTTCACTCCCCCACTCAGCAGGACCGAGGGTAGAAACAAGATGGAGAAAAACCCATGGGCCAAGACAAAAACAGTTTAATAAAGCAAAAGCAAAGGCCACTTGCACAAGCAAAGAAAAACAAAATATTTATGCTCAACTTCACAGAAGTAGGCAATGTCCAGCCATTTCTAAGGAAGTAGGGCTTGAGTATGCAGTGATTGCTCTGGAGGGCAGACTTCATAATAATAGTGCCCCCTCACTTCCTTTGTCTTAACTTTCATTGCTGAGCAGGCATCATACATTATGGAATCCCTTTGGTCAGTCTTGTCCAGCTGTCCTGGTTATGTCCCCTCAAAACAACTTGCCCACCCCAAGCCTACTGGTGACAGACTGAAGTTGGAGAGACAGCACTGATGCTGTGGAGCGCTGCTCAGCAGCAGCCAGCTGCTGGTGTGTTATCAACAACACCCTTCAGTGCAAAGCACAGCACTGTGAGGGCTGCTCCAGGGAAAATCAACTCCGTCTCAGCCAGACCCAACACGCCTTCAGTATTTTCCCCTGGTGAAAGAATGGATAATTAAGTGAAAGCTGCATTTATTAAGCAATTCTGCATGTTTAGGAATTTACTTGCTTGTTCTTGCCATGTGCCTATTGTTAATAGTAAACCTGCAAACCCTTCCATGGTATTCCAGGGAAAACTACATTTCTATGAACTATATCCCAGAGGCAAAGAATTGAACTAGTAATCTCCAAAGAAGCTACACACAACAGCAAGGTTTGAATCACAAATGTCAAAGTAAGATCCCAGTGAAGGAGTGCATGGGCTCCTTCTTCATACTGCACCTTAAACATCTGAGAAGCTGACTATCTCCCTACCTGCTAAACAGAGTGTGGCAATGGGCCTGAATTTTGTCTCACACTGTCCCACAGATTTAGACCCTTAGCATCACCCCTGCTACAGTTTTGGCCCAGCAAAGGTGATATTTTCCTTGACAAATGCCTGAGTAGAGAGCACAGATAAGCAGAGGTAGGGACATTCTCAGACACTACCTTGCATGTATTAAAAATAGGGAGGTAATTAAAAATAGTTTCATTGTGTTGATATAACCTATGATACTGCAGATAGCCACCAAGCCAGAGACTTACTCCTTTGTTTAATTTTATTAATTACTGGTAAAGATGTATGGCTGGTACCCCTGATTATTTAGTTACCAGTTAAGAGGGACATATGGTCTAATACTAACAAGTTCATTCTTCTCTGCAGAATTGTATCTATCAAGCACCTGTGGTCAGTGAAATAGCAAAGCTCAACTAGAACAAAAAGAGAACATGACCATCTTTTCTGAATTGTCCAGCTTCAAGGCATTCCCTCTTGACATTACCCTCTCCTCACAGTAAGGATCCTGTAACATCTTACATAACCTTACAGCTTTGGGAGGCAAAACTAGATAAAAAAGTGGGAGAAGAAAAGATAAGCACAGTAATTGAGACAGTGTAAAAATATAACAGGTTACTTTTCAAAGGGAAGAGCAGGAATAAAGAGGAATGAGAAAAAGATGAGGGCAGTGGGGATGGAAAATGTCATAAGTGCCATTGTATTTCCTTCTGCAAGTGCAAAGGCCTCACACAACTTTGCTTGTCCAGGTGTTATGAGCCTCTCCTTTTGCACCCTTGTAAGCTGGATCTATGGACTCTCTCCTAAAGTAGAGACAGGAATTGGGACTATCTCATGTAAACCAGAACCTGAACAGATCCTTAAAAAGGCAGAGAGCTACTAACATACAGACTGTGCAGAGCATGCCCTGAGTAAATGCTCTAAGGAAGCCCTAGACCGTAGACAAAATCTGATGTCTGGAAACAGATTTCTTTTCCATTTTTAAACATGCCCTTTTTATTAAGCCAAAGAACTCTAATTATGAGCACATGATTTCTACACATCTATAACTGCTGAGCCCTTTCTATATCTATAGAACCACCATTCTTATCTTTAAGTTACTTCCTCAGAAGCAAATCTAAGCTCCAGATCATTTGTTAAACCTTAGAGCCTTTTTATATTTGGTCTTTATTTTGATAAGGTAAACAAACCTTTTTTCTTCCATTTTTCCCTCATAGTCATTCAGTTTCTCCCCACTGTATTTTCCTTCATTACCTTGATTTCTTCATTTCCTTCATTCCTTCATCCCCTTCAGCTCCCACAAAATTCCTTTTTCTAATTTATTTAAAACCAAAAATGTGACTGAAATTTTTACAAATTTTATTTTGGATCTATGATATATCAATGTTTTCAGGTCTGCAAAAGTCTAGGAGAGCAATTTCTAACTTTTCACAAAGCTCTAAAAACAATGTAGGCACTGCAGTAGATGCAGACTGTTTATACATAAATACAA